CAGCCTAGGGGAAGTTCTGAAGGTTGAGAGGAAGTTCTGAGGAGGATTCACGGACCCAAAATAACGCAAGAGGGTCATAGGCGAAAATCCAATGAAGAAATACATAAGAATTTGGAAGATCTGGAAACAGCCATCAGGATCAGAAGACTGAGGTTCTACGGGGACATGGTCGAAATGAACGATGATTAAACAAGACAGTTTTTTAAAAGTCTAGAGCTATAAAAGTATGGAAGGATATGTAAAACAAATTAAAGAGGAATTGAGTAGGCTAAAAATCACGGATAAAGACTGCTTGGATAGAGAGATTTTGGAGATAAAACTAAAAGAGGAACAGTCCAAGAGGATCCAGGATTTAATTTGGGGGGCTTCAGCCCGAAAGATTTTTTTTCATATGCGTATAACAATACTCAATTTGAAAAAAAAAAAAAAGAAAGAAATTAACTACCTATATGAAATGGTGTTTAAGTGGTTCTTGAAGTCCTATTAAATGTAATTACAATAACAAGAATACTTTAAGAGATAGTTTTTAATATTTATTTCTGTAAAACATGGTTATATTTTACCATTTTGGGGGGGCTTCAGCCCGAAAGCCTCTCCCCCCGTAGATCCGCCTGTGAGGAGGACGAAAGAGTATTGGAGTGGAAGGAAGGCGGAAGGTGTGAAGAAGAACAAGAAATGATATTCGCGTGGTCTGTGCTGGCCGATTCGTGTAAAAAAAAAAAAAAGGCAACTGTATAAGAAAAATGTCGAAAGAAATAGTATTGTCATTGTTTCACTATTGAGCCCATATCTTTTTTTTTCTGTTCTTCCCTACCTCGCCTTTTAGGCCTTACGGGATTTTCCCGGACCAGAGAGTGAGGGCGGGGATATCTGGATATCTAGTCTTAGATGGATCTCTATGAGAATGAATCTTATCTCCTTGGAAGGAAACTAAATGTATTAATTGCGATTTCGATCTGGTCAGCTTTGTAATTAGCTCTGGGTGTTAGTTTTCCTCGTTTTGGACGATTAATATTGGCCAAAGCTGAGCTCAAGGGAATTCAATGAGGGCTGAATATATACATATAATTATTTTTATTGTTTATTTATTTATTTTTTTGGCTCATATCACTCACAGAAACAAATATGGAAAAAGTATATACATTTTTCCATTTTAAGGAAATTTCAGTCCGAAAGTATTCTCCTGTAGCTTCGCCAATGGAACTTATAAAATATTGTATTTTTGGTATTATAAAAAATAACAAAAGCATGTGAGAGATACATTAATTTTAGCCTATGAATAAATCAATTAAATTATAGATATATTGACAGAAACGCAATTCAAATATGAAATAATATACGACAGATTATTTACTTAATGAGGAAATAAATTGGCCGAGGAAGTCAAATGTCTAAGGTCGACAATGAATTTAAATATAGTTTGATCTTGGTTAATGTTAGTTGTTCAGTTGGCCGCGCACAGTGGTAGCGCCACCTGCTTACAACACATTTTAATTGTTTTCTAATTCAATTATCTGTGTTATGTCACTCAGGTAGTCGTCAGTTTTTCGTCACAAGATGCCAATTCGCCTGAATCTTTAAATACATCTTTTTAGGATGTGAGAAACATTCTCTAAATTGAAACGAGTAGGTTGTGGCTAGCGTTGACCAAATGCGAGACCGAGGCGAGTCTTGGTCTTGCAAACTCAGTCTTGGTCTTGCAAACTCAGTCTTGGTCATGGTCTTGCAATTACTTATTACCTTATTACTATAGAGATATTACTGCATTTTGGTTTATTATTTTCAATAATGAAACATTGTGATCGACCAAAAAATTAAAAAACATAATCCCCTCCCAAAATTTGAGGTTTCACGTTTCAAGACGCGTGGAATTCGAAAAACGAATACAATTTTTTTTGTCCGTCCGCCGTCCGCGCATTTTCTCCGAAACTACTGGACCGATTTTTTCTTAAATTTTGATATAAAATCAGAGGTCACCCGAGGATGATCCTCCTTCATCGACATTACTCTCCGCCTTTAACTTTCAAAATGGCGGCCGAAAAACCTGCGTTGCTATAGACTGTAGCTCCTAAACGAATGTACAGATTTCAATGAAACTTCGCTAAAGTCATTTTCTCGACGCCCTTTAAATTCATCTATATAACATACTTCAACGAAAAGAAGCTGGAAAAAAAGTTACGAGGGATGGTAAAATTAAATTCTGAATAACTCGAAAAGTATACACTTTTTTTGTCGATATTGTATAGTTTTTTAAAACGTTACGAAATTTCCTAAAAAAAAAAAAAAATCGTTAAAATTGGACAATTAGGAGCAAAGATATGGTCTTCGGTTTTTTTTAATGTGTTCTACTTCAAATGTTATAACCTTGGTTTGCTTTTTAAATTTTAAATGTGTTACTGAACTAATGCTATTTATTTTTAGCATATTACTAATGATTAAAGAAAAACAGTTTAGTCTAATACTTGGAATCACCTTTTGTTTTTTTTTTCTTTGTAACTCGGAAAGTAATGTTACTTTAGATGTATAATTGTTTGGAGATAATAAACCATTGTGAAATAATTTGCAGCGTTTTTTTAGATATGAGAAATCTAACTAAGCCCGAATGAAAAATTAGAGGAGTTAAATACAAAAATATACTGGTTATACCAATTATTAACAAATAGTAACAAAGATTTTCAAGTATTAGTAACTATTTAGCCTTAATTTTTATTTTTAAAATCGATTTTTTTTTTACCAGTCCTGGTCTTGGTCTTGCAACAGTTAGGTAGCTAGGTGCAAAGTGCAAGACGAAGATCGATACGGGACGACCTCCCCTCCACTCTCTCAATAATTTCAAGTAAAAAGAAAATTAAAATTGATAACAAATTAGAGACATGAATGAATAAAATAGGCTAAGGCCTATAAGTAGGAACGTAACGATTTTATAACGACTTAAATATTTCTATAATTTAAATTTTCATTTATATTTAGGAATAATTATACTGAAACATTTCCTAGGAATTAATAATTCATCCACCTCTCATGTGTACACCTCCATTGCCACATGATTTTCTTATACATAAATTTGGAAAAAAATATATTTGAGAAGTATAAGTATATTTTATAGACAATATTTTTATATAACTTGTTAAACTCTGAAAACATTGTATTTTTATTTTAAGGCTGTGCAAATTAAGAAATCAAAAATATTTTTCAGTTTTTTTTTAACGTCTTTCATTTTGCATTTCATAACATCTGCAAAATTCATAGCACTAGCGGATCCAGCATTTAATTTTGGTGAGGGGGCTTCAGCCCGAAAGCTTTTTTTCCATAAAAATAACGATAATTACTTTGGGGAAAAAGAAAAAAACTAACTACCTAAATGAAATGATGTTTAAGTGATTCCTAAAGTCCTTTTAAATGTAATTACACGAAAAATAATGCTTTAAGAGATAATTTTTTTTCCTTAAACATGGTTACATTTTACTATTTTGGTGGGGGGCTTCAGCCCCAAAGCCACCCCCGTAGATCCGCCCGTGATTCATAGTACTTATGTTATGAAGGCTGTCCCCTTCCTTCAGTGTTTAATGGATATAAATTGTAATAAATCCGATTTTTTTGTTTGGATTTTTACTTTCACTTACCTATATATGAAATATATAGTAAAGGGAAGTATTGCGATCGCGAAAATTTTAGAATCTCAGTTTTCAACGGAAATACACGTTTTGAGATCCCCTGAGTCCAAATAACTATGTCCCGCAAAATGGTTTGTGTGTGTGTTAACAGTCTAGCTCAAAAACGAAAAGTAGCTTAAAATTGCAGATTTAAGGTTTTTATATGTTTGAAATGTTACAGCAACTTTTTCATCAAAATCGGCTAACCGGAAGTGGTACTTTATATCATGAACTAAACACATTTTTCCGATGTTCTCGAAAACGGATTTTGATTAAATTCATTATATCAGAATATAATCAAGCATTTTAAAATAAAATGTAGTTTTTATTCTGATTGATGTTCTCTAACTTTAGGGCTTAACAATAATTAGGTACCAATTTTTACACATAATAAGAACTACTGACATTTTCTGTTTCTATGGTTTCTGGTATCATTTTGCAAATACTGATCAACTTTGATATTGACGAAATATACAGATGTACTTTCAAATCGCTCTACGCATACATGTTATAGCTCACAGACTGGAGTTATGTGGTTAGCAAAAACAAATGGAAATACGATGTTCTATTGCCTACCGTAGATATAATAAATAGGGTTTTTGTTATTTTCATGGTCTTAATTTGTTAACTGTAAGGTATAAGCTTTTACTCTGTTAAAAATGCATTTCAAAAAGTTTGTAATAGCGAGGCGTCGCAAGACTCTCTCTCTCTCTGGTCTTGCGACGCCTGTTCCTTTGACCAGCCCTAATGAAGGCCTGAATTTTGGGCTGAAACGTAGGGAAAATAAAAATAAATATAATTATTTATTTTTACTGACCATTCTTCTCATCAATTATTAACTACAGTCGACCATCAATCCACAATTGTGAATTATTTATTTATTTGAAATTCAAATATAAATACAAATAAAAGTATTTATTACTTGGAATGAGGCAATAAACAATTTTACTTAAATAAAATTATTGGGATCAGCTCTAAATAAAAGTATTTGGTTATTAAAATAAAAGTATTTATTTGTCACAGCTCTTTCAGTACTAAAATTATTTTTTTAGTATTAATAAAAACACATATTTGATCATAATAGTCTTAATCTACTTTTTTTTTCATACCAACGTTTCAGCCCTTAGGTCATTTTAAGGAAAAGACTGAATTGCCCTTCTTAACATCATTTCATTGAGTATGTGAGTTAAATGATGTTGACAAGAGCAATTGAGTCCATAATGATGTTTAATTATTTAAAATAGGTTTCTTCTCTTGAAAATGGCCTAAGGGCTGAAACGTTGGCATAAAAAACAAATAGATTATGACTATTATGATCAAATAGGTGTTTTTATTATTACTATTAAGGTAAAGTCCTAACCTACAGATTTTAATACATATATTTTGATATTTCTATTTATTTATTTTAATTTTATCAAAAATTTCAGACGGTCCTTCAATAATTATATTATGTGAAGCGCAATCTGAAAGTTCTGTAACATATTTCAAAATTCCTATTTTGGCCTTGTTGATGAGGTGAGGTGGTAATTTCTTCACTGACAACGCAATGCTTCTCATAAAAAGGTCGATATCGTCTTCAGTCCGTTTGTTCTCAACCAAGCTCTGCAACAATTCCAACTCTTTTTCTTCCCTTTTCTTTACGACACTCCAGGGGTTCCTCCTGGAACTGTGAACGGGATAGGAAGGAGAGACGGGCGGTGATTCGCTAGTCGACGAAAAGGAAGCGGTAGCCACTGGGACTGAAAGAGGCTGCTCTAATTCCATTGGTCCATCTTTCTCAGCCAACACTACTTCGATGTTTCTTAATTCCGGTTCTGAAACAGCACAGTAAGAGGGCGGATCCCTTTCGTAATCGCCCAAAAACGTCAGTTTTTTCAACAAAGGCCATTTTCTAGAAGAACGTGGTGCAGCAGATCCGACTGGCAACTTCTCTCTTCGAACAATTTTCCAATAATTATCCCTAATGTCTTTCCATCTCCTCTTACACGAGTTACCTAGAAAGGAAATATAGGATTATTACAAACAATATAATTTAAGAAGCATATTTTAATCATTAGTTCCTGGCTAAAAGAATTTAGTATTTCTTAGGTAGGATTTCCATGTACCATTAAGTGTATATACACGTGTACATACTATATACGTGCATCATTAACCTTGTTAACCTGTACCAATACACAGCGGATCCAGGATTTAATATTGGGGGGTGCTTCAGCCCGAAAGCTCTTTTTTTTATGAAAATGACATTAATTACTTTGGAAAAAAAGAAAGAAACTAAATATCTATATGAAACACAGGCGGATCTACGGGGGGGGGAGGAGTTTTGGGGCCGAAGCCTCCCTCCCCTAAAATATCAAAAGTATAACCATGTTTTATGGAAAAAAAATTAAAAAAATATCTTTTAAAGTATTATTGTGATATGAAATGGTGTTTAAGTGATTCCTTAAGTCCTTTTAAATGTAATTACACGAACAATAATACTTTAAGCGATAATTTTTTAATATTTTTTTCCATAAAACATGGTTATATTTTACCATTTTTGGGGGGAGGCTTCAGCCCCAAAGCCCGTCCCCCCCCCGTGCCACTACAACCCATGAAGGGTCTTGGGAACAGTACTATTTAGGGAAAGCACTATTTCTAGGTCAACGGTTGTGTAAAGAGGTGATTTGACCGAGATCACGCTCAACCGCCAGGTTTTCCCCCTTAACCAATTATTTGATTAAGGGTATCCACTTTATAGAGACTGGGTGTGCCTCAGGAGGATCTACCGACCCAGGGTCGCCCCACGGCCAATGAAACAGAAATAATTTTCTGTCATGAGCCGGGGTTCGAACCTGAGATCTTTAGCATTGGAAACTCAGTATCCTACCACTAGTGTTGCCCAAATGCGAGACCGAGACGAGTCTTGGTCTTGCGCAAGAGTCTCGTAACAATCTAGCAGTTACCTATTAGCTTATTACTAGAGTGATATTACTGTAATTTTTTAGATATGAGAAACCTAACTAAGTCTGAATGAAAAATTAGAAGAGTTAAATGCAAAAATATATTGGTTACATCGATTCTTTACATATAGTAACTAAAATTGTCAAGTATCAGTAACTATTTTGCCTCAATATTTATTCAAAAAATCGATGTTTTTTACCAGTCCTGGTCTTAGTCTTGCAACAGATAAGCGGTGTTCGTCTTGGTCTTGCAAAGTACAAGACCAAGACCGATTTTGGGCAACACTACCTACCACTGGAGGGCAACGCTACCCCACTCCTTACGTGCATAATAGTTCATGAAATATATTTTGTCCAGTCAATGAATGCTCGAAAAGGGGATGTACAATGAAATGGCGGGGACAATTTTTTTGACTTTTGGACATAGTCACTAAGGAGATAAACATAGTAAAAGTCCCCACTCCTAGGTGGTGAGCCAGATGTGGGGGGGGGGGGAGGGAGAAGAAGCCTATGTCACTTTTTCGGGTTTTCGCTTATATTAGAAAAACTATCTATCGCATCGACCAAGACGTTCTATACAAGATTACGGCTGATAAAATTTGCAATATATTGATTATACTTTTTAGCAAAACTGTTGTGCTTTTAAGAAGGAAAACGTTGAAACAAATTTTATTTTTAGGATCATAATACTTCGAATAAAATATAAAATTGCTTACGCAAGAAACATTTTTCACAGGCAATAAACCCAGACCTTTTTTATCTTTTACTATCTTAAACGATACATCAAAGCGGAAAACGTTTTATCAATGGAATTGAAGAACATTAAATTTGAATCAAAAAATTATTTTTTTTTTTTAATTTCTTAATGATATTTACAACTATATTAAAGAAATACATTTAGTAAATTTGAACAAATGGATATAATGACGTGAAAACACTTGTTGAGAAACTACCCAATGGTAGCACTCTAATAATATGTCTACATTAGGAGATCACGTGGCCATCTTCTGTTCAGACGCCTCGCAGGATTGTCAGGAATTGAAGAGGAAGCAAGGCTAGAAACGAGAGGGTTGGATGTTAAGTTGTTATGGAAGGTTCTGAATTGGACCAGGTTAGAAACATAAGGGACATTAAGATTTTTACGGTTTTATTTGTAACAAAGTAGGGAGCATTGAGGATTTTGGATTGTAAAGATTGGATACGAGAGGAACTCGATGGTTTAGTGGAGCTCCATAGCTGAACTCCGTAAGTCCAAATAGGTCTTATTATAGCCATGTGTATGAGTCTTTTGTAATTAATTAAGTTTAGAGCGCTTGTCTAGTAAGTGCTGAAGTAATTGGAAACGTCGAGCGGTTTCTTGTCGTTTCAGTCTGGTATGAGGATTCCAAGTTAGACGTTTGTCTAGGTGGAGTCCTAGGTAGCGGATTTGTCCTAGGTTTACGACGAAGGGTAAAGGTAATTTGGTGGGATTTATTGGAATTTATTTTAACTCTCCAGTTTTGACACCATTATTCAAGGTTTATGATGTGTGACTTAAACTTAATAATTTAATTAGTCAACGATTTTTACCAAATTTGTCAAAAACCGAGTCTAATTACTATAAATGGCCTTACAGCTTGGAAATGAGTTCCTTCCATAAGAGAAAAAAACTAAGGTGTGTGCTTTAGAGCACACGATACAAGCGGAAACATCAACAAGGTGAGATTAATAATATGAAGTATAAATTATAAATAATAGCTCATTATAAAGAGGATGAAATGTTGAACATTCCTCTCACTTACAGAATGCATTGTCCAATTTTTAGTTCCTAAAGTATTTTAATCCATATCTTCCATAAAACTCGTTATCATTTGATTTTCGACACTAATTTTTTCTTTTCGCCTCTAATCTCTCCAACACGGCTATTCTTTTATCGTAGTAATTTCTAAATCGAAGGGCTATTTATAGCAATTTATCCGAGGATTTAATAAAAAATCAGCGTTCGTTTTCCATGGTTTTCTACCATTCACTTAAGCAAATTATGAATTTTAAGGTACTCGTTCGACGCACAATTTAACGTTCCGGTAATAAAACTTTATTAAACTTCCCAACATACATTACTAATAATATATAATTGAACAGAAATAAACATGAATAATGTTATTATGTAATCTTTGCTTCTCCATTGCACTTGTAACCACGAGGGCTAAAGCGAAATGTAAATTCATTGCGGTACATGCGGTCCGTGGTACAGATCCGTTTTTATCAAATTATCAACATCCGCCTTCAGCTTCGTGAATAGCTTTATCTCATCGTAACCTACAACTATTTTATGTACGAAAACTCTTGGAATTGGGATGTTTTCAATTTGGAGGTCGGCAAACTTTGTCTATTTATTAGGTGCTAAAAACTCATAAATACCTATTTGCTTTCAACTTGGTTCGTAAGATAATTTGATCACAAAGTCGATAAAAAAAAGGTGGCCTACAAAAATATTGAGCCGTTTGTCCTATATTTTGACAATTTGGCGGTGTAGGTCATGCCAAATGGCTGATACGATGCGACGAAGCTATTTAAGTTCAAAGCGGATGTTAATAGTTTGATAAAAAGGAGTACCACGGACTAATGGTTCACACGAGAAAGATGGATAGAGCGGCATATTTAATATGTCGTTGATTATGAAAAAGACCATTATAAAAGAAATTAATTCACTTTTATTTAATTTATTATGAATTATTATTATAACTTTTTTAACAAAAGAAAACCAACTGAAATAAAAATTGAAAAAAAAAAATTTCAGTTCCGAGAAAGCTGGATAACAGCTGTTTACATTTTGAAATGTTTTGTCTATAAGAGCCATAAAAATATATTAGCTATTTTAAAGTTTGAATGTTTCTTTCTTTGAACGTTTTAAAATTATTATTGTTTTTTTTTATCTACACATAAAACTTGTTGTAGAATAAATTTTTAATCATTTTGGGTTTAATAAAAACATTTTTATGAAAGGACAGCCAGAGTTAAGTGATATCCATAATATAAAAACTTAAGATGTCCGTTAATTGATGTCGCACTGTACCAATGTTTATAATATATAGCTTGATTGCAATAATCCATAATTAATTATATATATCACAGCAGAAAGTAATAATAATATTATTATAATAAAAATAATAAATAGATGAACTTACTGTCTTTTTTCAAAGCCTCCGCAATCTTCCTCCAAGCACTATTCTTAGCACGAACATTCCTGAAGTCTTGGTGTTTTTGATCGTAGAGGACACGATAATGATTCACTAAATCTACTAGAAGATCGTCATCGTTCTCGTTAAAACCTTTCTTTGACATGATGAATAAAACGTAAACAGAACGCACGGACAGTCACAACGTGGCAGTCAAACTGCTTTAGAAGCGGTCGAGACGCAGCAGTAGGGAGACCGAATCAATGACGTCACCCCATTTACTGCCGAATAGCAGTGTTGCCAGGCTGTTTTTCTCTCCCCTAGATTTAGGTTGTTTTTATACTCTCGAAGGAAATCATTTATCGTAGAGAAATATTTTTTATAAATTAATATAAAAATAAACATTAATAATTTAGAGTTAATTTTTGTCGAAATTTGAACTTACACAGGTTTAATGGGAAAATACTGAAATGGTAACACTGTTCAGCAGTCACGCCCTGCCCGCTGCCCCGCTACGGTGAGCAGTTCCAGCATTAAAGTATCTTTATCAGATATTAATTTCATGTAGGTTAAACCTCTTATGATAAATAGTTCATTTAATGCTTTATTGTCTAAAACCTTAAGACGTATTACTCCCCTCCATAACAATAAATCTACATGACAAATAATTTTAATAGCTATCAATAATCAACTATTAAAATAACAAAAAAAAATCTGATGCGGTGCGCTCTTCACACAACTTTCACTGACCACTCGCTAAGCAGAAATAAGTAATTTTAGACAAATGGAAGTGGAATTAAAAATTATAGGCGGTATGAAACTTTATTTAAAACAATTAATTACCATATTTTTTATAGCAGTCTAATTTATTATATTTATTTTCTTTGACACTAGCTATTTCCTTTTACAACTGTATATTTTAATTATTTATTCAATTATTACACATATACACACACAGACCATTTTGCGGAACTTGGTTATTTGAACTCAGTAGAACTCAAAACATGTATTTCCATTGAAAATTCGGATTCGAAAATTTTCACGATCGCAATACTTTCCCGTACTAAATATTTCATATATAGGTAAGTGAAAGTAATAACCTATCCCATCATAGTAAAATTATTGGGAAAGTTTCTAAACTCAGCGCTAAGATCACTGACAGAGATCGTAAATCCATCAGTCCGTTCCTAAAATCGATGATGAACCAGTAGGCAAGTTCCTAAACTCAGTGCTGAAATCATTGATGAGCCTTGACTATTTACTTAAAAATTTTTTTTTTTAAATTTCTTTATTGATTAATACAACAATCTATCTCTTGGACATTGGTTGTAGTGAGGTAGGATGACATTCACACTATATGTACAAAAAAATAAAATAAATAGAAACAAAATAATAATCAAAAGTATATACAATAGGTAATAAAATAAAATAACCTAAAAAATAAGAAAATTAAAACTAAGCAAAAAAAAAAAAACACATGCATACCTCTGTACAATCAGGCGAGAGAACTCCAGGAGAACCCTGCGCTACTCTCTCAACCGCATTACTGGTATTAAAGCCAGCGGAGATTGATCGAGAGCACTAAAAAAAAAAATTAAACTTTAAAAAAAATTATTGTACTTAATATATTATGTTATTTGTATCAGTAACATTAATTTATAATAATATTTAATATTTCATATTCCAGTTTTCAGTTTTGACCTTTTATTTCATATTTAGCTGTTTATTTAATTTGTTTGCCTATAAGTCAGTATAATAAATAATACATTTAGTTTTCATTATTATTTATCAAAAAATCTTTATTTATTTATTTTAAAATAATGGCAAGGATGAAAAGTACATCAGAAAAATTTAATGTTTAAATTTAAACATTAAAATACTACTGAAAACAGTTCGCAAAACATTTCTTATTAGACGATACCTTTCAAATAAATTGTAACTAAAACTAATTTTACCCATTAGAGACTTATTATAACCAATTATACAAAATTCTTAAAAACTTCATTTTAGATTTTTGTACTAGCTTTTATTTATGTAAGCATTAGGTGAGTAAATTAATGAATATTAAGGTGTCTTTGTTCCATGATTTGTAGTCAGAGATAAATTCGCATAGAAACCATAAAAATATTATTATTTAAATAAATTGAATGACTCAGCATATATTTACAAAAAACAATTCCTTCTTTCATCATATTTAAACTTAAAAAAAAAATTATTTGGAATAAAGGCTCATTACTAAAATAATTTTTGAATCATCAGTTGGAACAGCTGATTAAACTGGATCCATTTCACTAGCGAATCCAGGATTTAATTTTGGAAGGGGCTTCAGCCCGAAAGATTTTTTTTTCATTTACATGTAACGATAATTAATTTGAAAAAAAGGTAAATAAATTAATTACCTATATGAAATGGTGTTTAAGTGGTTCTTGAAGTCCTATTAAATATAATTACATGAACAGGATACTTTAAGAGAGAGTTTTTAATATTTTTTTCTATAAAACATGGTTACATTTTACCATTTTGGAGAGGGCTTCAGGCTGAAAGCCCTCCCCCCCCTCCGTAAATCCGCCTGTGATCCATTTGAATCCATTATTCAAATATTGTAATCTTATGAATAATTAATTTATAATAATATCTCATAAAAAATTTTCATTGTCAGTTAACAAAATAATGCTTGTCAAGAAACTGAATATACTACTTTTTAACTATATTTAATCTTAGTAACAAATGGACTATATGCATCGTTAATTACATTAAATCAAAATACTGTGGTAGTTCAGAACATATTTTGAGCAATATATAAAATATTTGAAAACAAATTTAAAATTATTTTACACTAAGCATTGTTCATCAAAGAGGCGAAATGACATTAAAAAAAAACTTCGTCATCGGTTATCACCTATTTCTGCATCCATTAATGATTTATTTTACCTCCTCCCAAATTTAAAGAGGCAAATGCAGTTGATAATTTAAGAATAACGAGAGAAATAAATATATTTTCAAACTCGTTTAAATATATTAATAATAAATATATTTCTTTTATTATAAAATTTGTGAAATCTCGTCGAAAAAAGATTATAATACATCTATTTCTTTAAAAAATAATTTATTTATTTAATTATGCCCCACTCTCCAATATAAATTCAAAACTATTGTAAAGTGTAAGAACATACCTTCATGTTACGCGTTGTTCAAATAAGTCTAAACTGAATAGAAAATCAATAAATAAATTTATTTTTACTAATTGTTTGTTATTTAATTATTTTATTCATTCATATCGTTTTATAAAAAATAATTGTGAATAGACCACATTTATTATTGGTAGGTTTTGAATTTGAAAGAAAAGTATGTTATCTTTGAAACTGAAGCAATGATGCATTACTTCCTTGAACTCTCTTATAAGATAAGCAAAATAAAACGAATAAGCCTTATCGATAATTCAATGAGCATAAAAGGTAATAAAGATACATTGCTTGATAAAACATCAATAATTTTGGTCTAAAATTTCAAAAATATAGATCTACATTCTATAATATTTATATGGTTGTACAATAAATAAAATAAAATGGAAAATAAGGTTATTAGTAATGAACTTTATCCTACATTTTTTTATATAATTACTTATTAGTTATTATAAACTTTATAATATACATCTTAAGCTTGAAGTGTATTATAACCAGAGTCTGCAGAGAATATATCATATATGGAATTAAAAACTGTACAACGATGCAGAACAATATTCAGTAAAAAATACATACAATACACAGGAAAAATATACAATAATGTAGCTAAAACATGCATATATAATCATGTGATTACACTAAGAAACTAAAAATGGAATAAGAGGAATGATTAAAAATTAAGCAAAAAAAATGTTGTTTTTTTTCCTTTGTAATCCTAAATAACCAAAATATAATGTGACAAACTAACAACATAAAATAAAAATATGTCTGTATTAATGTTTAAAAACATAATAAGAAACACTTTTTAAAAACTAAAATATCAAAGAAAAACAAAAAGGCAATAAGTGGAGGTAGCATTATTTAATTAGTTAGTTATTGATTGAAAGTGAGCATATGATTGCATTTTTTTTTTCAAACTTGATCAAAGCCATCAAATATCAAATTATATGCATTGATCATCAAATTTGAATCTGTGTACACTTATTCATAAAGATATTTGATCAGTTTAAAAACTGCATGCAAACACAGTTTGCAATTGCAAGGGTGGTCTGAAGGGGTGTTTATGGTGCAAGTTATGCCATCAAAACAGCAAACATAATTGAATATGTCTACAATTTTTCCAATTCTATTTTTCTGGCACTACTCATTACGAAGAGGTGAGCAATAAAATATCTTGGGAGGAGGGGAGGAGATTCATGGGCCATAACCTTATAAATGCAACATAATGTAAATATTCAATTTAAACTATAAAATAAAACGTGGTGTGGATAAACGTGTTTGCATAATATGTGTTGCCCGGCAACCTGATAAACGGAAGTAATTATGATAAAATATTATAAACATAAAGTATAATCCCAGTGCCATGGGGGAATGTACTCCTGAGAAGTAACGATTGTATCCTTATTAGAATTTAATATAATTTAATATATTTTATATTGGTACAAGTGAATTGGAATATATAAGAAACTGAGAATATATAAGCAGCTATGTACAGTAACGATCTATTTGAAATAGGAAGACAGTAGGAATGATGAAATAATGAATATTATAACAGAGAATAATGAACATAGTTTAACTTGATTAAAATAAAATATCAAATAATATAAGATATTCTTATTTAATTGATTCCATTAAAATCAATACTTTATTCATTAAATTATTAACAAAGAATGAAATAATGATTCAATACCTAAAAAGTAATAGTACTATGCACACTAATTTAATATAATTTTGATTATGTTTGATCAAAATAGTTTAAAAATAAAGTAGATAAATTACTCACATTAAGAAAGAAAGTGTTTGCTGTTCCAGAGAAAGAATTCATTCATTCAGAATAATCAATATTCACATGTCAGAGCTGTCTATTCTTATTCTATAAGCCCATTATAAAAGTTTTCTTGATTGGGACAATGGAACAAATAACATTTCGTTTAATTTAACATGTTAAAAGTAGGAAATGAAAGTTATTTGATATGATTGACTTGAATAATATTCAATTCATCTTCTTAACATAAATAATATTAAATAAAACTGTGCTTTTGACATAAATATATAAAATTAACTTATTTTTTACTGTTTGTTTTAAATA